ATATATATATATATATATATATATATATATCGCTTGCTGGTTTTGAGCATAATTGCATCTTGTCGTTTTTTCAGATTAAGGCGAGGAGAAAGCTAAATAAGTATGGGGAGAGGGAAGATTCCGATCCGTAGGATCGAGAACCCAACTAGCAGGCAAGTCACTTTCTCGAAACGAAGTAATGGGTTGTTGAAGAAGGCGAAAGAATTGGCAATTCTGTGTGATGCTGAAGTTGGACTCGTTATCTTCTCTAATACCGGGAGACTCCATGAATATGCTAGCTCAAGGTTTCGTAACACTTCATAAACCCTCTCTCTCTCTCTCTATATATATATATACACACACACACACACATATATATATATATATATAGTTCAATCTTTTTGCTCTTTACATCTATATATATGACCTAATCTATATGTGAAAGAACTCGGTTCTTGAAGTAAAAATTAATGGGTATGAACTTCTGTGTATAAATTAATAGAAGGTGTACATTTCCAAGATATGATTTGGGTTTGAGTTCTTAGAAGTCAATGATCGACCTTTCAGACCCATAAGTTGCTTTAATTATGTTTTTTCTGGAAAAGAGATGCATAATTGGGCAGCATGAATATCGTTTTCAGATTAATTTGCAAAAAAGTACCGTGTATATATATCTGTTCGTTGACCCGTATGATTCACATATGAATTATTTAATTGATTTTTAGTTTATATGTTCATTGTTATGTACATATATAAACCTGAATATACTATTTAAATCATTCATCTATAAACTATTTAATTGATTCAACGATGAATCTTAGATTCATATATAACATTATAGTTTTAGGATAAAAATTAAAATCTTATTATCACCAATCACAGATGAGTCCCCAGTGCCATTAATGATGAGGTTTCTAAGAAGCAAAAGCAACAAATTAAGGAAGCAGGTCACATGTTAACCTATGTTTATTAGCAAAATCAACGCCGGCAATGACACAACCGTAGAACTATCTTCCCCTAGGGTGTGTTTGGTACGTGGAACAGGGTGGAACATGACAGAACAGAACACAATTGTCCTATGTTTGGTATGGCTTTATATGGGACTAACTAGAACTAACTAGAACAAAAATGGGACACGGGAGTCCACCTTTTACCCCTAGAACTAACTAGAACAAGGAAATTTTTACCACTTTACCCTCAATCCCTTCCACCGTCTCCTTCATCCCCTTCCACCGTCTCCTTCAT